CCGGCATGGGCTCTCTGGAGGGGGAGAGAAGGTCTGCAGAGGGGGGGAGCAAGTGGGGGGGGCAGGCCAGGGGAGGGACCGTTTTGGTACGGGGCTTCCTGAGGCTCCAGTACACAAACACACGCCGGATTTCTGGCACTGGTACCCGTGTACCGGACTGGACCGCCTGAAACCGACCTCTGCTCCGCCTACTTGCTGCTTTTCTAATCTATTTTCTATTTCTGATGTAAGATGAATTGTCTCTTACTTGCTATTTTGGCGGAAAAACTCACCATCTATTAGATAAATCTAATATAATTTACCAACTGAAAAACCTATTCCATACTGAGTTAAATAATATCTGGATTTGCAATCCTCCTTCCACAATAAAATTACCACCATCAGCCAGGATTTTCAACACAATTGGGAATTGCTAGATTGTGTTCTGAAATACATAAATCTGATATTCTTGGCTTATGTAGAGTATCACAATCTGGAGTTGAGAGTCCTTCTGAGATTCTACAAGATGAACAACTCATTATGTACATTCTACAACCAGTGGAAGGGTTTCTGGATTACATAGTGAATATTTAAGAGATTTAGGCGTCAGGATCAGCCTTGGTATTACTAAAAATACATAGAGGTATCTGTGGATTTGACATAGTCTAAGTTGCCCAGTTGCTTTTTTTGCCATCACTTTTTTCTTCTGAATTACTTCTAGGTCTCAGTGGAAGGAAAAAAGGCCAAGCCTGTTTCTCTCTTACAATTAGCTGCTTGTAATGGACTTTGCCTCCTTCTTCGTTTGCCCCAGCTGACCAGTGGGGGACAAGTTCTTCCAAAGACTTTGCTTGAAGTTCTGTCAGATGGCAAAATCCTAAAAGTTGGGGTAGGATGTTGGGAAGATGCCAGTAAGTTATTTCATGACTATAGTGTAACTGTCAAAGGGACTGTGGACCTCCGCTATCTGGCCCTAAGACATAGGTATGTATCTTTGAGAGGACAGGTGCTGGGTAACCTTGATTTAACAGACCATTTGTGTTGGAGATGTTGGCTGTTCCTAAATGACAATAGTATATCATTGGGGTCATTATTATGCAAACTATATCATTGGGGTCATTATTATGCAAATGTAACAAATTATATCATTTGTGTCATTTGACATTTGCTCAAACAATATAATTTTGTGAGAATGACTTAATCTACATAGCGGTATTATCATACAAATTATGTAAATAACAGTGAATGAGGGAAATACAATAGAATTTTTTGGTCTGGCATTTTAAAAGTCCCTCATCTACAGACACAATGGATATCTCTTTTATTATGGTAGGGTGTTCAGATGAAAATTTTGTCCATTACACCCAAAAATCTGTTGAATTGAGGTTTCACCATAATTGTGTTTCCTTATGTTCCTAACATTTTGTTATCTGAGAAGGTTATAATTTAACATAATTTTAGGGTTTTTCATTCTCTAGAATATTAAATGCATGGAGTGTTGGCAATGTTTCATTGTTAACTGTACCTTATTTATTTTAAATTTTGAGATACAGTACATGTAGGCCCTGTTTATACAATATGTTTTACCCAACCAGTTATTCATCTAATCACATCTATCTATTCCTAGCTTTAAGGCACACAATTATACTCCTATGTCAAAAATCTTCATTTTGGGGAATACAGTGTCCCTGTTGATTTTCTCCAGGAGTGTTTGGTGTCACAAGAGTCCTTTTTTCCAAAAGGATATTAGCAAGTCTTCATTATGTTACCAGCCCTTTCCACATTGGTCAGAAAAGGGAAAGAAAAGCAACTTGGCTGAAAACTAGAAATTCATATGAATTTACAGCTTTCACTCATTCTAGCTACCTTTCTTTGCTGCCTCCCTGTTTTCCTGGTCCCCTAATTGCCCACCTTAAAAACCCACTTGATCCTCCTGTTAAGTATGCTATATAAACATAAAGTTTTCTCCCATTGTTAGATAAATGGTTGCAATTATGAAATGGACTCAAGAAAAAGTTAACTTGCTGTTGCTAACTTAAACATCAAAACCCCAAATTGACAGACAGACGGACGGACGAACGGATGGACGGACACACACACACACACACACACACACACACAGAGTGATGATTTGATTCCTAAGCATTTGTTTGATGGGATAATGGACATTTTTTTCCTCCTCTATGTACAACCCTGAAGTAAGACCTTCTCCACAAATGGGCTCAGCCTGAAATCTCTTGCCGAAAANACCTCTTCTGTAGGTGTGGCCTGCTTTCCGGGTCCACTGGTGGAATCTCTTCTAACCGGTTCGGTAGATTTGACGAACCGGTTCTACCGAATAGGTGCGAACTGGTAGGAACCCACCTCTGGCTAGATTCTTCCATACAAAATAAAACTTTATAGAAGACAATAAACTAATGCCTGAGGAATCAAACAAACATCCCTCAGCATGTCTTTCTGTAACTCCCTTTCCAGGAAGTACATTTTGAGTGCTTTTGAATAGAAAAAGGAGGATAGTAATATGTTAATGGAATGAATATGCTAATATTGGTAAACTCCATTCTGCCCAAAATATCCAGAAGTTTCAATAACCTAAAGGTGCTCTTTTCAAGAGGCAACTGAACTTTCTTTGTTTTTACTTGCAGATGCTTTGCTTCTCATCCAGAGAAGCTTCTGAAGAACTGAAGAAGCTTCTTGGATGAGAAGCGAAATGTCTTCCAGAAAAAATAGGTTGACTCTTAAAAAAGCACTTTTGGGCCAATCATGACCTAGATCAGTGAAAATCCCCATAGATATAGTCTTCAATAGATCTGTTGGCTTAAAATCTTTTTTAAATGAGTCTAACCCAGATTGCACTGCCAAAAATCCAATGACAAACCACCAACATTTAGTTGCTTAATGAGGTTTTTTAAAAAGAAAATAAGAAACACGTTAACTCTTCAATAGAGCATGTTACTTAAAGAGGTTTTCCTGCAGCAAAAAATAAAACCCCAGTACCAACCCCTATGATGACACTACAATATCATCTCACATCATCAGTGATCCTCAAATACTATTTTTTAAAAATGTGTCTGCCAACTAAAGCAATATTGCCTATTTTTGGAAAGAAAGAAAGAGGATTGGTAAAATTACAGAGCCATGCTGCCTTTCGCTATACCAGACACATGATTCCATAATTTGCCTAAACTATAGTTTATTGTATTAATCTAATTATGTATGTTCAGACAAGTCACAATTATATTCAGTCAGCCAAACACAAACCATATCAAAATATTGAAATATGTGTGCACATTAATACATCATATAATTATTTTTCCAACTGCATTATAGCTTAATGTATTATGCAAACATAACCTACAGTTTATCCAATATCTTAAGTTAGGAAACTAAGTTTTGAACTACGTAAAACGCACTTTTGAGTTTTAGATCTAAGGTGTTACCAATGTACAAAATGCAGAATTGAAATCAAAACTATTATGGCTTGGGATTTTATTAATTTATATAATTGTGCATAAATATTAATCAAATATTAAAAGATATCCAAAAAACTTATTTACCTAATTGAAAGGATTATTATGTAAAGTAAAAATCTCCCCATCTAACATTTGTTTATTCTTTTTCTATGTGGTAATGAGATTTGGTTAAAATGAACTTTACTAAAATGAACTCATGCCAACTGTTACCTAGGTGGTATGGTAAATTGCTAAAATACATTACCATTTGCTGAATATGTTTGCAATAGTTATATCATAAAGAATATTTTCCCCATTTAACAGTGTTTGCTTTCTGCTATGATCACATCAACTTCCATGTTGATTTATTCTCTCCCTCTCCCTCCCCTCCCCTTCCCCCCTCTCTCATGACTGCCATAGACATTTTTATTGTTAATTTTCTTCTTCCAATAGCTTTCCCATTGACTTTTGCTTATCAGAAGATTCTAAAGGAGATTGCATGACCTTAGGACTCTGCAACTGTCATAAATATGAAGTTGCCAAGATCTGAATTTGATCACATGGTCATGGGGATGTTGCAATAGTCAAGTGTAAAAAAAGTAATTAGTCACTTTTTTCAATGCCATTGTAACTTTGAACGGTCACTAAATGAACTGTTGTATGTTGAGGACTCCCTGTACTGCATTCTTCACTTTTCAGAACAAGTGAAACCAAGTGAAGGGACATGTGAATAGTCTTTATAATGATTTTCTGGGACAACAGCAGATAAACTTAATTGGACTTAACTCTTACCAAATACAGTAATACATTTTCAAAGTGTTCAGTAGAAGTTTTAGAAGTTATTCAATCTGATAACCTACAGAGGAACATGCTCTTGTCATGCTGGTCGGGAATTATGGAAATTGTAGTTAAAGAATAGCATGCCATGCCATGCTGGTTGGGAATGATGGGAATTGTAGTTAAACATATTTAGAAGGCACCAGATGTAATGAAGTCCTCAGCAATAATGCTGTCTAATAATTAGTGTGGGAATCAGATCCGGGTTCAAGAAAATATGGAAAAAATAATAATAACTTGCTCCGTAATTTTCTGGTCAAGCTAAAGCAATACTTGTTCTCAGAGGCAGCCGAGTCTCCGCTTCAGGCATAAACAGCACTGCAATTTTTCCTTTGAACTCGGTGTTGTTTCCGAGCAAATAGGTATAGAATCAAGCAGCACCAAAAAGAGCTTCCCTTTTCGCAGCAAATTCCCACGTTTCCGGTAAATTAAAGGATGCTAAAGTGCAGATTAATTAATTGCTTCAATTAACAGTTCAAGACCTATGTCAAACCATTTGGGTACCTCGCAAGAAAACCAAAAGGTAGATGCCACACAGTACCGGCTATTATTTTTTTAAGCTTTAGTGTAGCAGGAGTGATTGTTTTAATTAACGTTAGAGGCCACCGTTTCAGAAAACAGAAGCCCAAACAAATCGAACTAAGCCACAATTGCCGTACAACATGGCAGCGCCCTGAAGCGCTTGTATGACAATACACTTGTACGTTCCGCTGTGAAGGGGAGCCCGGAAGTCTTGTTGTGGCAACGAAGAGGAATATTTTTTTTTTTTTGCCTTTCGCTACTGAAACAGGTAACGTACACGTGAGCGCTTTTTATTGATAAAGGCACCGTCGGGGGAGGATTGGAATTATTATTAGTTTGAGGACTGTAGGCAAAATATGCTGGATGTATGATTTCTTTTTCTTTAAGTAGTCTCCCGTCTTCCGGGATTGTGATTGTAATGCAGTACTGTTTAGCAACTATTAGATCTTTTTGATTTCTGCTTGAAGCCTTTTTCTAAAGGGGCTAATAATATAAAGCTTCCAGATTCATAATGAACTTTAGTGTAGTGAAGTTTACAAGATGGAGAAACTGCTTTTTATAGAATCTCTCGCGGTGTTTCCCTGTTGATGAAAATAGGAACATTTTGTCATCCAAAGATGTTATTATTACTAGCAGTTCTCTTTGCTTTGGTTTCCTAATGTGGCTCACTCCTCAACAATGCTAGCTGGGGATAATGGAAATTGTTCAGTATTTTGGAGTCAGTGGTTGGGGGAGGATTGTCGTCACTCCCAATGAAAAATCGTCATTATGTTGTCAATCTGTATGTAAATAAATGTATTTGACTACCTTTGTAAGGGAGAGTGTTGTGAGAACTGAACACATAAAAGTAAAATTCTGCCTTTTATATACATTTTAAGGTTCCAAATAACTTATATACCAAGTCTGAAAAGTGATTGCAAAGATTACTGTGCTTTGTTTTACATTTTTAAAGTTTGACATTAAAATGGATCATCTCATGCCTCAATAATATTGTTGAAGATCAAGAAATCTTACTGATGAAGCATATTGATCACATGTCGAGTAAATTTCTAAGAATAAAAAATATTTAGAAATATAAAAAGTATGTCTTAATTGTTATAATCTGCTGCATTCAGTGATGGGGGGGGGGGGAGACTGTATTCATTTTTTGCTCATTGAACCTGCACATAAATGGGAGCTGAAAAAAAGTTTGCAAAGTGTATTTATTACACTTGCCTTTCCTGTGAGACCATAACAAGGTACATGTAAAAGTGTTGGTAATCTCTCATTAAGGCATCGACATAGCTCACACATTGTATACAAAATTTTGTTGCACATTTCAGTCCAAGATATGAATTTAAAACAAGATTTACTGACACCTTTAGCTATGTGTCACAATTGCATCAAGTTCTGTGTCAGTCTATATTTGTGTTGGGCTGGTAATTCCCAGAATTCTTACCAGCATGGATTGAAAGGTAGTGCTGTAAATAATGTCAGAAGCTGGGGTTGTTTGCAGTATGCCAGTTTTCTTCTTTATTTTTTTATTTATAGAGTTTTGAGAAAGCAGTTAGGTGTGGGAGAAAGCTTGATGAACGTTTCTTCTGTAATAAATCATATGCCATTTTCCTGGTATGAAGAAAAGCAATATTTTAGGGAACAGTCTGCATATTTTACTGTAGTTTTGCTACTATAAATTTTAAGTTATTCTGTTTATATGTTAGTACAGTTGAGGAATAAATCCACTGAAACTGAAAATGTGACTAGCAATAAAATATTACTGCCTATCCTATCCCTTTACAAGACTGTTCTTTTTGAGAATTTTGCCCCAATCTGTAATATTTCACATCTCATATTGAATTGCATGTTCAGTAATTTGGAGAGATCCCTCCATCAGTACACTTGGCTATCCTGCTCCCAATTCAAAATATAGAAAAAAATAAAATAAAAAGCACTGATGTTCATGAACATGATTGACAATATAATGTCTTGTTTCCTTCCAATGTGAGGACTGTTGTTTTATTTTTGTTCTTTCTTTTCTGTATTTTATTTGGCAAACAATCTAGAAGAGAATCTTTTTCTCTTATTTCACAACTTCTAAATTTGCTTAGGAATTTTTAATGAGTTTTGTCAAAAGTATTTTGGAAGTCCAGTCATATTGGAGTTGAGATTGCAGGCTACATAGCTTGATATAGCCTAATTTTATGAATTTATTCTTTATTCCATACTTCTTGTTCTTCAAAAATCAAAACAGTTCTGAACAACTTGAGAGTTTGCACACTTTCTGATAGTTTATAATAAAAGTATTACCAGTTACGATTTTATAATGGGTATTAGTTTTTCTCCCATGGATTTATAAGATACAGTTACTTGTTGATATTAAATGGATTCATTTTACCATTTATGTGTATTGACACTTATGGAGATTATGAAATTTAGTGTTATACTTGGAAACTTTCCATATTGACTCTTCAAAAAAATTGATCTTGGTACAGAGGACAAAGATGAGCTTGGAAAAACTGCAGAAACCATTAGAAAAACATATGTTTAGTCCAGGAAATGGGGAAAAATATTAGAAAGAAATCCAGACTGGCTTTGCCTTAACTTGCTGGTGTGAAAGAGAAAAGGAAGGGAAAATATAGTCAGGCTTTCAAGGTTATTACTACAGCTTATATCACTAAAATTCCTGTCATTCTTTTGGAGTCTATTTCCTGACCTGGCCAACCTCAAAGGGCTGACATCTAAGCACTGGAAAATGTTATATTAATCATACTTTGTATAATTTGTACAGAACTGAAATTAATTGCATATAATTTTCTGAATCCCAGCAGGATTTTATTTTAAGAATGGGAACTACATTGGCCTCTCTCTCTTTCCCTGGGGCTGGAGTGAATCTTAAAGAAAAGTTACAAAACATTATTTAAGATTTCACATTTATATATTCTTGATGAACACTAGTTATTTTTTAAATCATTTGCTCATATTCTCTGCCTGAAAATGTTAATCACACACTGCTTATCTATCCAACAATTTCTGAAATGCAAAGAACTCATTGGGACGATTTCTTTATGACAATATATTTATTTATATCCTGCATTTACTATTTTTATAAATAATTCAAGGTGGCAAACACACACAATGCTATTTTCCCCACAATAGCAATCATCTTCATCAGGGGTCTCAAACTCAAGGCCTTGAAGCTTGATCTGGCCCACGAGATGCTTAGATTTGGCCCACAGAGCCACCCTGGAAACAGCAAAGGACTAGCCTGCAGTGCCTTTACCAGCAAAAAAGGAGCTCGGGGGAGAGCAGTATACAGCCCTCCTGATCTGTTTTCTCTGGCAGAGGGTTGCAGGAGGCCATCACAGCTGAAAATGGAGCTCATTTTGTTTGGCAGAGTGCTCGGGCTACTACAGTCATCCCAACACGAGTGATGTCAAGCTGGCCATGCCCATTCGGCCATGCAAGGTCAAACACAACCCTGATGCGGCCCTCAATGAAATCACGTTTGACACCCCTGATCTTCATTTTCTTTATAATCTTCTTATCTTTCTTCACTATTATAAAGACTAACGCTGATGAGAGAAAGCGTAGAAAATGCTTTCAAACATTTAAAAAGGCCAAGCAAATATCCTTTGATTTAGAAAGGTGGAAAGAAAAAATCTCCAATTTAAATCTGTGTATATTGGCTTAGACTGCTGTGTTCTGAAGGAAGTAGAACCTTGTATATATGGTGGGGATGTTTTTTGTCCATAATAAACAACAATTCTAGTTGTGTTGTGTCTGTGGACTACCAATGTATGTATACTAGTTCATAGGTCTGTCCTTCTGATTGGTCAAGGCCAGGGGTGGGTTCCGGCAATCACTACTGCTGGTTTGCTCATGCCGCACTGTGTGTGCTTGATGCACGCTGTGCGCGCATGCGCAGTGCAATAAAAATTGTTCTGCACATGCACAGAAGCAAAAAACAAGATGGCGCTTATAGTGCTGCTGGAAAAACCGGTTCGGGGGCGTGGCAGGCCTGGGTCACTGCCGGTTCCAGTGACCCAGGCCACCAAACCACTACTGCTTTGGCCAAACCGGGCTGAATCGGTAGAACCCACCGCTGGTCAAGGCCTCCCAAGGAGATTATATGTGATTGTATCCCTGTGGGGATAAATGTTTTCTTGAGGGACAGGGTTTTTTTTGCCACCTCTGAAAGAAGAAGTAGTCTGTCCCCACTTAAGAAGCCATTATAGATGCAATAGGTTTGGACAATTTGTGTCCAATCCCCAACCTTTCTGTTGTTGAAACAGTTATTGCAGATAGATTTTGGGACAGAATGGCAATTGGGACCAGAATTTTGTTACTAAATGATGCAGTGGTAAAATGCAGTGCCATGGGACCACATCATTTAGTGATGGCAATCCCAGCAAGTTCCTGTTCCTGTCATTAAGTGAGGATTGCAGGTCATTAATTGAGGACTTCATGTGACCATGACTTGTGACTTCATGCTGGCTTCCAACAAAGTCAATGAGGAAGTGTACTTGGGAGAAAAACCTTGGGAGTCAGGGAGAAGAGACTTAGGGAATGATCAAATAAGAGAAGGTGTAGTTTGCCCTGGTTAATGGGACTACAGATTCAGAAGTGACCCTTTCAAGTCTCTTGAGCTATAAAGGAGACAGAGGGAGGCTTGTACTTGCAGACTTGCAAGATTCTTTTAATGTAGCCTTACAATAAGGCAGAATTAGCTCACCTGGCTGTGTTTTGTGTCTGGTCTACCTGGTAAGGCTGACTGGAAGATGGCAGGAAATTGCAAGTCCTGGATCTGACAGTCCTTTCCTTAAGTGGCTGTATTTTTCTTCTGAATGTTTGAATCCCTTCCCCCCCCTTTTTTTCCTCTCTCTCTCATTTTGGCAAGATATTTGTTTTCTGAAGGAAATCTTTCCTCTGTGAGCTTTTTGACATTGCATAGTAACTCTGACTGAAGCTTAATTAAGGGGCAATTTACAGCATACAGTTTCATTCTGGAGTGAAGTGACTTCTGTTTCAGATTCCTTCTAAACCATTTTTGGGGAAAAAAAGAACTTCCTGTGAAGTTAAATGGGGATTCTGTTAGACTACCTTGGCAATTTTACACCTTCATATACATTGAACACTTTTACTACTATTTCCAGTCAATTTGGTAGCATTCATATTTCACCTTGGATCCTGAGTAGCATTGATAATTAGAGCCTAAGTGGCTTCACTCTGTTCACTTTCTTCACCAACATTTCTAAGACACAATTAAATTACCTCTTTGATGTCATCTGAACACGCATTTCTTCAAATTCTATGTGGCATTTGTAGCCTATCTGATGGAGATCAATTTATAAATTCATCTTTCATGTATGTATTCAGAAATGTCCCAATGTTTGAACCCACACCTATAATTTGTTAATGTTGCTTGTTTAGTTTCAATAACATAGACAAAAATGTAGAACTTATTTCAGGTGAGTGGGTTCGTCAGGCTTACTAATTTTTCTCCACAATTGTGCTTTATATTTTAATCAGTGTTATTCCATGTTGCTAGATCACTGCGTATTACCATTTTTGCAAATATGGAGTAGAAAGGAAGATGAAAACATGCCCAGACCAACAGCAGTCACTGTTACTGTGGCTACCCTATTTGGCATTGCAGCAGGAAGTCTAGCTGTCTGGAGGGTCATCCAACGTCGAAAACATAAAACCTGCCTTACACCAAGTCAAGGAGGAAATATTAAGGAATGGGAAAAGAAAAATATCTCAGAAGACATTTTTCATTCATTTTTACCTTCTCCCACAATTTGTTGGCTGGAGGAGATCCTTGAGGCAAAAGTAATAATCATTTCTGAGGCAGAAAAGTGGCATGAAGTGGAACCCATATTAACAAAAGAGTTGGAATGTTGCCCAGTCCTTGGAATTGACTGTGAGTGGGTAAGTCTTAGATTCTATTGAAAAATCTCTTTCACAAGCTAAAGAGAGAGGTTATTAACAAATTTCTTTGCACAGGCATTATAAACTAAGACTGAGGGCTGGTTAGATACCATAATCTATTTGAGCAGCTTTTGCATATTGCTTTTAGTCTTCGCCTAATGATTTATTTTTAATATACTAGTAGTTTCTGTATATTCTTCCCATAGAATTCAAGAGGTTTATATATGCTACTTATATCTGTTCAGAGCTCCTGTATAATATATTAATTATTCCTCTGACACATAGGCTATTCTCACAAGCCTTCCTTCCTTCCTTCCTTCCTTCCTTCCTTCCTTCCTTCCTTCCTTCCTTCCTTCCTTCC